ACGTGAGTGACCCGCAGACGCAAAAAGAAGCTGTTGAGGCTAATTCTTTGTGTTCTTTTATTATGCACGGCGGAAGCACGTCGAATTTCTAGCTTTACACTCACCCCTAGCCCAATCTCCCACCCCATTACCTCTCGCTCCTTCCTTTACTCCTCCGCCAAGCTTGTTCCTCCATCACGCGCGTGCTGGCGAACACAACTATATACGTTAACGGCCCCCTGTTCACGCACACATTGCATGCATGCACGACGGAACGAGCGTGCCGCTTTGATGTGCTCGCACTTACGTCGGTTCCTCGTTTTCCGTACAAACATTATAGGAGTAATTAAATGTCGTTAACGAGGTCCCTGCCCCGCTCTCGCGAACAACTCGCGGCGACGACGCCTGTGCCGGCCAGCGTGCGCAGGTGTGCGCGTACGTGCTCGTAGCGTACACACGCACGGCTCGGCTACACTGTGAGCACGCTGGCGTCCTCGTCATGAGGATCCCGCGAGAAGATTAATCGAGTAGACGGAACAAGCGCGCAGGCAGCCGACCTGGCCTCGGCTCCACGGTCGCTTGCCTCGAGGGCTCGTTGAAGACGATTTCCACGCTTTTCTTCGTTTTACTCAGCTCCTCTATTTTGCCTTTTATCCACGAACACCCTTTTTAGGAATGTTTTTTTTTTCTTTTGATGTCCTCCCAAAAGCGTTCATGCAGAGGGAAAGAAAGAAAAAAAAAACGAAAGCAGCTATTGCGTTTCGTGGGAGTTGCCGGCGAAAACGCTGAAGTGCACTCCGGTAATTCACGTATCTAAGTGAGCACTGGATACTTTGTCTTTCAATTATCCGGCATATGGAGTGCACGTTATAATTCCTTGTCGGCTGTTACATAGAGACAAACGGGCGAAGGAAAGTAGAGAGGCTTGCAGAAAAGCTAGAACAGCAAAAAAAAAAAAAAAATTTAATACAAAACGACGGCTCGGGAGGAGGAAGTATATACGAAAAGATATAGCGATAGAAAAGATGAGAGGGCACGGTAATAGATTCGCATTTGCTGGTCTTGAGTTCGATTCCCATTGCCGCCGAACTCCCGCTGGTCCATCGCAATGGCGGGGAGAGGTACATCCCAACATTACGCTCGGTAGTGTCGGCATTTGTCTCGATAACGTGGGTTCTCCTTTTCACCGTCTTCTATTTTTGCAATTTTTATCAGTACACCGTGTTTAGACGATCCCCTGAGGAGCAAATGAACGCGCCCGGAATTCTCTCGCGGCAATATACACTTTTTAAACACCTCTCCGAAGACAATTGAGGCAGGTTTTATAAAGCGTTGCAATAAGCTGGTAATAATAATACCCGAGTTTTACGTACCAGTGTCATCATATAAATGGGAGGTATACACTGTAGAGGAAGGCTCAGAAATTTTGAGGATATGGTGTTCTTTAACGTGTACTGAGATCACACTGTACAAAGGCCTTTCGCATTTCGCCTCCATCAAAATGTGACCGCCGGAGCTGGTATCGGACCCCGGACTTTTCGGTCAGCAGTGGGGGGGGGGGGGGAATCACCAAGTAGGCAATTAGTCCAGGTAAAATGATTATGCACCACGTGTTAAAGCAGCACGTATTCTTGGAGTTAGTGATTTCATTAAATATACTAGATAGCAAAGATGTCGCGATGGTGTGTGGTTAGAGTATACCAGCCTCGCGTGCAAGAGGTCCGTGGTTAGAATCCCGGTGCCACGCGATCCCCTACCGTATTTAAAGACGAAAGTTATTTGCGTGATGATGGAACTGCGTTAAAGAGGTCTGGGGTGCAGCCTCACCGGAGACCACCGCCGGTAACGCACTCCCTCACCAGAGAAGGATTGGCCACCCTGGTGCAGTATCTGGCCACTACCTCTCACTTCGATACGCCAATTAACTCTCCAACCTCAGTCCCCACTGGCTGCTAAGCAACTGATCACGGCGGCGGTCATATCTGAGACGCAGCAGAGGGTGCTAAGAATGTCTGGGTCCGGACAGTCCACCATTGTAACCTGAACTTGGCAACGCTTAACGCGAGAACCTTATAGTGAGGCAAGTCTAGCTGTGCTATTCGATGAACTAGAGGGTTTTAAATGGGATTTCATGTAGGGCTCGGTGAGGTTAAGAGGACAGATGAGGCCTCTACAGTGCTACAGAATGGGCACGTCATTTGCTATCATGGCTTGGCTGACAGAAGAGAACTCGGGGTGTTGCTCCTTATCCACAGAAATATCGCTGGAAACATAGAGGTACAATATAGTGAAAATGAAAGGGTGGCAGGTATCGTAATTAAACTTAATAAGAGATACAAGATGATGGTGGTATGGGTCTACGGGCCTACATCCAGCCATGATTACGCTTCAGTTGAAAGCTTCTATGACGACATGGAATCGGCAATGAGTAAGGTAAGAACACAGTATATTATACTCATGAGTTTTTTCAATGCCAAGGTAGGAAAGAAGCAGGTTGGAGACCAGGCAGTATTCTATTATGACATTGGTGCTAGAAAAGCCAGAGGGAAGTTATTAGTAGGATTCGCGGAAAGTAAAAATGTACGAATCTTGATTATTTTCTACCAAAAACGAGTGAACCGAAAGTGTACGTGGAGGAGCTCTAATGGCGAAAGTAAGAACGAAATAGACTTTATACTGAGTGCGCACTCGCGCATCATGCAGTATGTGAAAGTGCTTGGCAAAGTACGATGCGGTGACCATATAATGGTAAGGTTTCGAATTCACCTAGACTTGAAGAAGGCACGACAAAAACTGATGCACAAGAAGTCAATCAATGAGTTAGCACTGAGATTGGAAGTACAGGAATTCACGAATCTAGCTTCAGAACAGATATTTGCCTCGTATCGAGGAAGTCGGCCTTAGCGTTGACGCAATGAACGATTATCTGACGAGAATCGTTGTGGAGTGTGGAGTGGAAGTTGGAGGTATGGTACATAGACAGGACACTAGCTAGCTGCCCTATTAGACGAAGAACCTCATTAAGAAACCTCAAAGCATGAAAGCCTCAAACACAATAGACAAAATATAACTGGCAGAGCTTTCAAACTTGAATAATAAGCGTTAGGTATTCGATGTAAGAAGGTATAACATGGATAGAATTGAACACGTTCTGAAGAACGGAGGAAGTGTCAAAGCGGCGAAGAGTAAACTTGGTTAAGATGAAAACCAGATGTATGTACTATATAGGGACAAGGAAAGCGAGTATAACTACCAGTATGAATACGATAGTTAAAGTATATAGCGGCGAAATTTTCCGGAGAAGCCTGGACAACCACGACCATAACGTAAGAACTAGCAGCACCACAGATGACATCCTATCAGTAATGACAGAAGAGGTCAGAAAAGTCTTGGAGGGAATGCAAAGAGACAAAACTGCTGATGAGGATCAGGTCACATCAGATTTGCTGAAATATGAAGGACATATTGTGTTAGAAAAACTGGCCACCCAGCTTACGAAGTGTCTCCTGACGGGGAGGGTAGCATCTTGGAAGAATGAGAACATCATCTTAATCCATATGAAAGGGGACAACAAGAGACTGAAGAATTACAAACCGATCAGCTTGCTCTCCCTCGTATACAAGCTATCTACAAAGGTCCTTGCTAACAGAATCAAGAGATTGGAATTCAATCAACCAAATGATCAAGCAGGATTTCGTACAGGCTACTGAACAATCGACCCCGATTCATACAATCAATCAGGCGATAGAGAAATGCTCAGAATACACCCAACCACTATATAGCCTTCATAGATTGCGAGAAAGCATTTGATTCAGTAGAGCTATCAGCAGCCATGCAGACATGCGGAATCAGGGCGTCGACGAAGCATGTATATAAACATCCTGGAAGAAATCTGCAGTGAATAAACTGCCACCTTAGCACTCCATAAAGAAAGCGACAGAATACCCATTTAAAGAGGGGTGTAAAACAAGGGGTATGATCTCCCCAATGCTATTTACGGCGTGCTTACCGGAGGTTTTCAGAGGCCTAGATTGCGAAGGGCTAGGGATGTGAGTTAATGGGCGGTATCTTAGTAAAATGCACTTCGACGATGACATTGCATCACTGAGTAAATAAGAGAGCGATTCGCAATTGATGATTACTGAATTAGACAAGACGAGCAGAAAAGTAGGTTTCGCAATTATTCTGAAGAAAACGAAAGTAATGTACATTAACCTCGGAAGAAAACAGCACTTCGAGATAGGTGGCAGTGCACTTGAAGTTGTAAAAGATTACACTTATATGTAGTTACCGCAGATCATAACCACGAGATCGAAGTAACTAGAAGAATAAGAATGGGGTGGAGTACATTCGGCAAGCATTCTCAAATCATCAATGGTAGATTACCACTATCCTGCAAGAGGAACGTATACAACAGCTGGATCTGACCGGTACTTACCTACGGAGCAGAAACTTAAAGATTACAAAGAGGATTCAACTGAACTTGAGGATGACGCAGCGAGCAATGGAAGGGAAAATAATAGATGTAACCCTATAAGGAACAAGAAGAGAGCAGAGTGTATCAGGGAACTAGCGGATGTTAAGACATGATAGTCGAAATCAAAAAGAGGAAGTGGTCATGGGCAGGGCAAGCAGCGCGAAGGCAAGATAACAGCTGGTCATTAAGGAGCACAGATTAGATTCCAAGAGCAGGGAAGTGGGTGAGGGGGAGACAGAAAGCAATGTGGGCATATATGATATTAGGAAGATCGCAGGTATACAGTGACAGCAGCAAGCACAGGACCGAATTGACTGGCGGAACATGGGAGAGGCTTTTGTCCTGCAGTGGGCTTAGTCAGGCTGCTGCTGCTGATGATTGGATAGCAAGAAGTCGACGCAATGTATACGTGCAACTGCACTTCATTAAACGCAAAATCTGAACTCCACACATTGTCAGGGTGTGTACGCTGAAAAGTCCGATATGTGATCTGAATAAACAGAGGAAAAAACGAAAGAAAAAGTTGTACTTAAGTTGTACTAACCTGAACTCTCGCTTCCGTCAGGTCGACCCTCATTGCCAGCTCCTCCCTGAAAAGTGTAATGTGCATTTGCTCGGTAAGCAGCTGCAGGGAAATGCATGACATCTGTGACAAAACGAAGAGCACTGAATGAAATACTCTTTTACGAGAGTGGTGCTATCACCACCCATTGATAAAATCTCTGTCGAAATTGCTTGGATATCGTGAGTTCAGAGGAAATAATTCAGGTGAACAAGAGCTTAGTAATGTCAACTTATCTACATTCACCTCATGCACAAAAACACGCATGCATGCAGAAAAGGAGCGACACGTATCGGACAGTAAATACAATAAAATTTAAAATTAAAAAGAAGAAGACCAGTTGTACGTGACATCCAATTCCATGTTGCCACGTGGGAGGGCGGCATCTTCATGCTCGGAAACGTGCATGTTGGCAGACACAGAGAAAGCCGCAGTGTCCGCATCGTTTAAAGCATGGGCAAAAACACGCGGCCTGCAGGCGGCATAGAGCACGCGAACTTGTAGCTTATACGGCCCGCATTACGCACATGGTTTATACCATTTTTATTTTTCATAATAATTACGTTAGTTAGCCACAGATGCATCACTCCTCTAAAGCATTGTTCTTGCGAGGAACTCTAAGTGGTCACCATGTATTGAAGCGTAATCGCAAAACAAAAAGTGTTTCAGAATCGGCGCCCACACTGTTCTCATTTTGAAGATCGGTATTGACATGCGGTTGGATGAAATACTGACCCCAAACCTTCAAAAATGGCCTTCATATAAGACATAGGAAAGGTTTTATTTTCGATGGTTTGCTGAGGATGAGTACAAACTAACCCCCAGCCTCCTGCCACACTCTCCACTTTTACATCATTTCCTGACCTAGCCCTTGCGGGACTAAATTCTTCGACGGCGGCCTGCTACACTCTTAATCAGGTTATGCCTAAAGCGCTGGATATAGCCAGAAAATTTAGGACGTCTTTTTGCCTGATGTCCTGGATGTAGCCAGAATTTAACCAGGAACTGATTAAGTGTGTAGCTGAGATGCGTTTGACACCCTCGGTTCATACAGCATTGCACAACTGATGTCTGCAGGTGTAACACTGTTCCTAATTATGCAAGTTATAATTCAACTTGTATTCCAAGCATTTGCCGAAGCCTATAAAAACAGATACTGGGCAGCCACTGCGATGTCCGACTTACAGTACAAATAAGTAAGCCCAATAAACGTGATGTTTACTTAGTCAATATTATGTAGTTTTAATGAGATAACATCTTGGACCCGACCAAATACGCAATGAGCAGAATACAGGTGCTTGGGCTCAATGTTTTCAATACATTTCCTTGTGTGTACACCTTGTTTCGTTGCGCTTAAGGTCTATTTTGGTTAATCCTGCGAACAAAACAAGCTAGTGATGTGAATATTGATTCTATGCAAGCTCACAATGACCACCTTCACCTGAAAGAGTAGCCATGCTGCAGTTCAATTCAGTTTACTTGCATTGTAAAAAGGGAAAAAATAGCACGCTTAGCTTTGAAAAAGTTGAACTCCATGAGCCACAAAACAAAAACACGCAAGAAATAACTTGTATACAAAAGAAGGGTATAGAACGTGCGTGTGTTTGCTATTCACGATGCCTGAAGGTCTGGCCCCACGTATCCGTCGAAGCGCGTCAACGCGTGTATTTTTGACGCGGTGTCGAGCCCTCTCCCACATTGAGAGAGAGAGAGACCACGCGGCTTCACGTGGTCACGCACCCACGCTAGAGGGTACGGCGCCACGTCAAAAATCCTCGCGCCGACGCGCTGCGACGGATACGTGAGGTCAGGCCTTGAGAAGGTTAAAAGAGGCTCCCACCATATATGCAGTACACTGATAGCAGCTGAGGTAGCAAACCGGACGTGCGTCTTGTTAACCTCTCTGCCTGTGATTTCTTTCGTTCCTCCTCCTCTTCCTGATTGCAGCTAGTAACTTCTAAATGGGGCACTGAGTTTGAAAGAATAGCGTCTTATGATAATCAGCGGCGGTTTAAGCTCCAGGTCTTAAGCTCAAACTGCATTTAATGACGCGTGATGGTGGTTAACGAAACCGGAAGCAATAACGCGTTACGGAGAATTTGTGCTCCTATAGCAACGTCACACGCGATGCTCCCGAAATTATGAACCCTTGTTCGGGGGTTTTCAAAAACTAAACTTACGCGCGCTCGTTTTAAAACTCAAAAATATTGCGTGTTTAAGGCGAGTCGCACGTAATGGGAAGATTGTTTTTCTCGGGAGCACGCGACGGGCTCAATGGCGTTGAAAATTAGCGCCGTTATGAAGGGGTCCACACCAACCGCACCAACAATTAGAGCAGGCTGCAGCGCATAACCTTCCACTCGTGGTGAGGCGGCTCCATAAAGGCGCAAATGGGGGGGGGGGGGGGGGGGGGGCTAACCCTGCAACGGAGTCGTACAATAAGTCCGTCCGTTCAAGCATCCATCCGACCAGGGGCGCCAATTCCGAATCACCCATGCATGCACGCGCGCGAGTGAACAACGTTACACGCGAAAGAGTGGGACACTTAATTCGCACGCCTCTGTTTCCTTAAATCAGAAGCATGCTCTCCTGTGGGGCGGCGTTCCGAAAGTACCATGTGTTGCCACTGTCCGGTGCCGCATGCTTTATGGTTATTGCTCTTAATTTAACAACGTGCAATCAGAGGGTGGCAAGATCTTGCCACGCGAGACAGTGCGAAAACGTATATAGCAGTTGACTGCTCCAGTTGGCGCCTTAGGCCGCACGTGCATGCCTCCGTTACGACTATGACTTCCTACAGACACAGAGCGTCGTCCCTGCAAGAACGTGGCGGGAAGTGTTGCCTCCCCCCCCCCCCCCATGTCTTCTCGTGTTTCAATGGCACTGTGCAAAGCTACGTGTGTACACGTGCTTGAACGAACGATGGGGCGGCTTGTCGTGGGTCTTCGCTTCGTGTAATTGTCGGTGTATATACACCCCATAGAGTTTGTTTGCTCCGAGTATGCAAGAATGAAAACTGTTAGAAGCAAGAGAAACGTGGGTGGCACCCTCTGCAGACCGTTCAGCGACAATGAAACGCGATTTGTTGCAACAAAAATGAAAACTGTTAGAAGCAAGAGAAACGTGGGTGGCACCCTCTGCAGACCGTTCAGCGACAATGAAACGCGATTTGTTGCAGCGTGTGCCTAAAATAAAGCCAGCGTCGAGTCTGCATGAGTGAACACGTAGCTTAATTCGTCCTTCTAAACGTTCATCTGTTTTTTGTACGAAGAAAAAAAAGTGAGAAAGCCAGGTTGCACGTAAGCTGGCCACCTATTAGTTCTTCAGGGCAAGCGAATGATTTGCAAGTGCATAGAGTGTGTGGGAGTGGATGCACATCCCATGACACGAAACTGCTGATAACCCCTTCTGACTCATTTCACGGCTCCGCTCTCCTTCGAGCAAGGCAAGCGTGGATCGTTAGTGCGAATATAGCCTTCTATATGTCGTAATTCATGTTTTCTCCAGTCGCCACGTGGATATCCCGCATTTCTGGGATCTCAGATCAAGCTATATACACTACAACATATGTTTTAACACGCATACCTGGGTATATCTTACTCACGCTAGAGTGAGTATGATCAGCGCATGAAATAAGAAGTGGGGGTTCGGTACAATAACGGTGTACATACATTGAGCGCGACTAATGATCAGCTACCTCTACACAGTGTTTCAATCACTACGCCTTCGTTGCCAAGTTGAAATCACCGTATGCTGAGTCAGTAAAACAGATAATGGATGTTCTATATCTGCTGTGCTTGCAAGCCTTGAGAAGGCACTGTGACTCGACGATATACAGAGAAACGTGAAACACGAAGTCTACTATTGAACACAACAATGTGGTTTCTTTTAGGGGCGAAGCTCCTTATAGGGCGTAGGTCTGTATATCCGGGTTTCTTATTGGTGATGTACGTAGCCATTGGTGGCACATGGCCGCTCTAGAGCAGGTATGTGCCACCGATGTCGGTACTTATGCGGAACTAGATGGTGGTACTTGTAGTTGATGATGCTTGTACGTAATAAAATTTAAACATAGTACAAGAATGCACCGTTTATAATCGTTGGTTATTTCAACGTTGATATCGCAGACACGACCAATAATTGACTCATCCAACTTGTGGCTTCTAGATATGCACTCCTGATGTATATCGTATGACCATATGAAACCAACCACGATCCGAGGAACATGCATTGACCTAATATTTGCGAATTTTCTACTGCAACCTATACAGGAACCGCTCACCTTTCATTTTACGGACCATAAAGCCGTCATAACGAAGGGACATCGCAAGCCGACCATCGTCTCTAAGAACAAATAAAAGTTGATTCCTATATATACACACATAGTGTTTTTCATTCACGGTTTTACTGATGATTCTCTCCGTTGTTTCGCCCACACATCATCATTCAACCGGTGGGTATGCTGTGATTTTTTTATCCCGCTATCTTTCTTTTCATCCTTTAAACTCCCTTCCTCAGCATAGGATAGCAAACTGGAAGCGCTCATCAGGTTGACCTTCCTACCTTTCAATTATCTTACTCTTCCTCCTCCTCCTACTCATATGAACCGGTACGATGTGCACATGAAACCACGAAAGATCATTCCCAGGGAATTTCCTGACGATCATTCCTAAGGAATTTTCTAACGATCATTCCTAACGACATGAATCCTCCTCCTCCTCCTACTCATCATCATCATCATCATCATCATCATCTATATAGGTCGCCTACCGGACGAAAGCCTCTCCCTATGGTTTTCCGTTTACCCTGTCCTGTGCGAGCTGGTTCCATTTTATCCCTGCTAATTTTTTTATTTCCCTCTCTCTCGCAAGGTTTCGCTATTTTTTGTCTGCTGTCTTTCGCTTTGTCTTTTTTTCTCTCCTTAAGGACGCCTTTCCCGTGTCACAAATCAAATAACGCCGTCAAAGGCGTCACAACACGAGCCATACGCGGGCACGTACAATCGTTTAACTGCCACTGCTCGCGCTA